TTCACAGAAATGGTATGATTCCACAAACATGGTTTCTTCATCACAGCATTTATCAGCACCTCGTCAACGTCACTCCAAGATTTATTTGCTTTATTTCTGGGTTTTTTCTTCTTAGATACTTCAAACTCATCAACATTATTATTTTCGCCTAATGTTGGCTCTTGATCATCTAGTCTCCCTAAAGAAAGTTCCAATTAAGCATACTGAGATAATTGACTTGCAATATAAAAATTATATATTAAACTGTCATTTTTATGGATCATATTTAGTAACAAATAAGATATAAGTATTTGAAAAACAAATACTCAACAAAAAATTTACCTTTAAATAAACAGTTGTTCTCATTAACAAAAATATTTTCCGTTTCAATATTTATGTTTGCAAAGCATGAATGCTTTAAAAAATCAAAATTTTCTTTTGGCACTTTAACATTGCAGTACAAACATTGATAATACTGTAAAAGAAAATAATAAACATTATACATAACCTCAATATATTTGTTTCACTATTAACATCACATCAATATTTAAGATTTTATACTTACAGAATCTTCTTCCTTTCCGCTTATTTTATTTTTGTTATAACCCTCCATTTTCTAAGTATTCAATAATTTTTAACTGAATTTACACAGTACATACTTAAAAATCGGTAATTGAAATATACTCTGGCAGGCCCTGGTTTGCGTGATAGAAGACTCTGCGTGTGAGAAAATGCGGAATAGCTCTGATTGGTTGCTTCTATGACGCACGTTCTATTCCGCAGCTCTATTCTGCACCATATGATTTCAGCCTAATGCTACATATTTTCATCATGCGCGCTTACCGCGTATTGATATTCCGAAATTTAACGGGACTCCTGCCGACTGGTTGTCCTTCAAAGACCTGTTTAGCTCGTTGGTTCTTTTGAATCCTACACTTACTTCCGTTGAAAAACTTCAATATTTGAAGACGAGTTTGATCGGATCAGCTGCGCTGCTCTTAAAGAATACGACTCTGACTGCCGATAATTTTCAAAAGGCATGGGACGCCTTGATTTCGTTTTACGAGAATAAGCGACTACTTGTTAACGCTGCCCTCCATTCGTTGGTTTCCTTGAAGCGGATGAGCAAGGAATCGGCCGGCGAAATGGAGCAGCTGTATACTAACATAATGCAGATTTACCGAACGCTCGAAACTTTAGACAGGCCTGTACAACACTGGGATGATGTTCTCGTTTTTACGGCCGTTCAACGGCTTGACTCGGAATCGGTAAAGGCATGGGAGCATCATCTTGGTTCTTCGAAGGATCCTCCTACCTGGGATCAATTTAGTAAGTTCTTGATTTCTCGCCTGCTCTCTCTGCAAGCCTTTGAAAAATCCCGTCCAGGGAAATCGGCGAACTCCGCCAATCAAGCCTCTGCTAAATCGCACTTTCAGGGTAGATCGAAGGATAGCAAGGCTGCTAAAGTAAATACTTGTACGATCTGCTCTTCGAAGCACTATATTGCACAATGCCCTCAATACGGTTCTAAGACTGTTTCTCAACGCCTTGCTATTATTACGAAACACAAGCTCTGTTATAATTGTCTCGGTCCTCATCGATCTTCTGTATGTCGAGTCACAAAACGATGCTTAAAGTGTGGACATAAACACCACACTAGCATCCACCAAGCTAACAAGCAATCGAGTAATTCGGGTTCGAAATCAACGGAGGACGACTCCTCGGTCGCCTCTACTTCCTCCTCAACCGCCACCGAAGCAACGGTGCTCCATTCCGCTTCAAAATGACAGGCTATGCCTTGCGTGCTTTTGGCAACAGCTCAGGTCCGCGTCGCCACGCCCCACGGAGACTTTGCGAAAGCTCGCGT